TCAAATGAAACCTCAGCCTTGGTAAAAACAACCAAACTATCAGGTTTCCTACATTTCTCAAGACAGCAGCTTTCCAGCAGTGGACCAAGTGGCTGGCCCATTATTTCTCTTCCCAAATCTTCTCATCCTCCAGCATTCCCATCTCACTAGATTCTACCTCCCTGGGGCAGTGTTTCTTTAATGCAGACCTTCCTTTCCTAGCCCCCAGGCTATGGATACAGATTGGGCTTTCCTCATCTCATCTTTAGGGGACTTTTATTGTTTTGTCCCTTGACTAAAGATATCATCCACCCCTTCCTTATGGAAAACAACTCTCCACCACAGACTTCTATGGTTCTAATGGGCTTAACATCTGGTTTAATGGTTGACATATGACTCTTAACAATGAGAGGTCTTCCCTAGAATTTTTCAAAGGAAAAGCAGTAGAACCCCTTTAATGAAGCTAGAAAATGTGAGTTGTGAACTACTGGGAGCCCTGGTTCCAATTTCCTGGGGGGAAACCCTTTGAAAGATTAAAACCAACTTGGTGAGAGAGAAGGGGCAAAGTAAAATGCGACAACAGGTCTTTTAAGTTCAACCAGTTGCATTCCCAGTTTTCACCTTGTTTGGTATCAGACTCCAATAAATTCATCTTTTTGCAGAGTCCAGTTCAAGTGAGGTTTCTGGCTCCCAGGGAAATCCATATCTCCACAAAAAGGCAAGAATGCTGCTACACCTGGGAGATGACTAGAACCTGGCACTCACTCAGTCTCTGCCAGGATCTTCTCCCTCCACTATCACCCATAAGACTCACTAGGTCACCTTCCCTCCTAACTACTGCTCATCCACATGGTTAGCCTGGTAACTGAGAACTCCCAAGCATTACATCCAAGGCTCCCCCTACCAGTCTTTACGTTTTTCTTCATAAAAATCTGAAAAACCAGCACCCGTTAATAAAGGTCTTAAATAATTTTTTTTTTAAAAATTGAAAAACCCCAGGAAAGGATTCTGAATGTTTTGGTTTGGGGGAAGCTTCCATCCCTAGACAAATCAACTATGGCTATGATATTACACACAGACTACTGTGGACACAGACCACCGTGTGCTCCACATCACAGCAAACTTAGCATTCCATTCAAAGACCTTCAAAATCTGTCCCCAACATGCCTTTTAAGCTAATCTCCTACCACACAACTACATAAACCCCACAACCCAGACACACTGAATTAACTCAATATAACCAGAAATACACCACACACTTTCATGGCTCTATGCTTTGCTCACTTTATTCCCTCTTCCTCTAGTGAACTCTATTCTTGCCCTCTCAAAATTCTTGTCCTTACAGACCCAGGTAAAAATCCACTCCTCATTGCCCTCCTCCTCCCAAAATTGGTTTATCTTTACCACCTTCATCCTCTCTACCGTATTTCCTAATGGATGTGTCTTATCTCTCCCACCAGATTTTATGCTCCTCAAGGTTAGAGACCCCAATATATTCATCTTGCTATCTTTTGATTCCTAATGTAATACCTTGTACTTAACCAGGACTCAATAAATACTTGGAAAATGAATGATCCTTCAGAAATGTTGACTAAATATCATCAACCATTGATCACTAAATAACAAAAGAACACCCCCTCTACCTGGGAGATTACTTTACAATCTAACCTCCTAATAGTACATGAGCTTCTGAAATAGAAAGAACCCACCAACATACAGTTATGAAGGCCTTCCCTCTATCTATCCCCCTATAAAGGTAGCCAAAGTCAGCCTTCAAAAAGGACATCTCTACTCTCGGTGGCAAATATACTCAGGCAAAGAGTAAAATCTGTGCCGAGACAGGTTTTCTTCAATACACGAAAATGGCAAAAGATTTCCATATACACTCATCACTATCTTCAGGCAGGAAGAAAAAGATCTTAAACAAGCAGGTTGATTTGCACCCTCACACAATCCCGGCATCAACTCTGTTTTCCCAAATCACAATACCACTTTAGGTGGCATATCAGTACAGCAGACTCAACTGTTTACTGCATGGCAGACATAAAAAGTAGAAGTATTCAACAATTTTACAAATCATTTGTAAACCAGTGTTCTGAGATTAACTCCAAAGACCCTCAAGGAGCTGACCGTGTTTAAGTAGAGGACTTCCGGTCCCACTTAGAGTTGCTGCCAGAATGAGCCCAAGGTTCAGCTTGCTAAAGGAATCCAGAGCTCTGTGTTGCAGTTCACTTCTGGTTCAATAGGAATCTCCTCCTGGAGCTACACAATACCAATGTAGCCATAGGCTCCGAATTCATAAAAGGCCACTGCTGCTTTTATGTAATATGTTGAACTTGGTTCTATGGAGGCCAAAGATATGCTCAGAAGACACGAAGAGAAAAAAAAAGAGAAAAGAAGAGAAAAAAGAGAAAAAAAAGAGAAAAGAGAAAAAAAAGAAGACATGAAGAAACCCAATATATGGTTTTCCAAATATACACACTATATTTAATTGATAATAAGCCTGAAGAGGATTCTTATGACCTGAAATTGGATTGCTCTATAATAGAGCCAAATGAATTTTCATTAGATATATCCAACTAAAAAGTTTCCTACTTTTCCCCATCAGGAGGATAACAAACATTTAACAGAGATTAATTACAGGCCAGGTGCTTTTTGTCACACCTTATTTAATCCTCACAACAATCCTGTCCACTTTTTAAAGACAAGTAGCTAATAAATGGCAGAGCTAGGACTAAAATTACATCTAAGTAGTTGATAGCTAAGTATCACAATCACATTTTTTTCCACTAAGCCATACTACCTCTAGTCTACTTTGCTCTGATAAATAAGCTGGCTTTTTTTCTTCCGATAAATAAGCTTTAAAAATTCAAGGAACAAAAATGCAATGTCGTATTCTGGATTGGATTGTGAAATAGAAGACATACATCAAAGGAAAAACTGGTGAATCCAAATAAATTCTACAGTTTAGTTAATAACATCGCACCAATGTTAATTTGGACAAATGTATCATTGTAATGTAAGATGTTATTAACATCCAGGAAAACTAGGTAAAAAGTAGGTGGGAACTCTCTGTACTCTTTTTGTGACTTTTCTATAAGTCAAAATTATTCTAAAATAAAAAGTAAATTTTTTAAAATTGAAGGAAGTTATGAATCTCAAATCTTGTCCTAGAGCTGGATATCTAATTGGATATTTCCAATGGGGTGTAAACCTGTGGTCTTTTCTATGACCATGCATTTTATTATATATATTTTAAAGATTGTATTTACTTACTTGAGAGACAGAGCGCATGAGGGGAGGGAGAAGCAGTCTCCCCACTGAGCAGGGAGCCCATGTGGGGCTCCATCTCAGGATCCTGGGATCATGACCTGAGCAGAAGGCAGTCACTTAAGTGACTGAGGCCCCCCAGGTGCCCTTTTGACTATGAATTCTAAACCTACCAGAAATTTCAGCACTGGCTTCATTAGGGCAGTGCAAAAGCAAGTCTCAAATCAAATGCCATCTCGGTTGACTAGCAATAAAATGAGCCCCTCCACAAGAAAGAAAACCTCACCAAGTTGATCATGACAGGAGGTAACCTAAACAGCTGCTTTATAATATGCTGAAATAGGCAGTTATGGGTTACTGGGAAGCAAAACAATGTAAAGCCACCCTGAAGGATGATGTTAGGATGACGTCATTAAAATGTTGGATTTTGAGAAAGAACACCAGCAGGCGGAACTAACTGACCAACAGAAATCGGAGAGGCGAGATGGGTTCATCTTTTTTTTGAGTTAAGACCTCATGCAAACCACGAAAGAGACGACTGCAAACAGCAGCTGACTCCACCTCCAGGCATTTCACCTCAAACCAGAGGGCAGTCTTCCATCTGTCTACGCTGTTGAAAGGGCTGCTGATCCTGCATTGATCTCCTGGAAGACACCTGCACTTAGAAATGGTGATTCTACCAGGAATATCACCTCCAGAAAACTATTCACACACGTACGTAAAAACTGTCCATACACAATACTAAAATTTTCATTATGATCTGAAGCTTAGACCTCTACCACCCCGTTCACTGAGGCAAACACACCGATTACAAAGTCTATATGCTTAGTTGCACTGTGTTCAACTTAGCTGTGTTGCCAGACCTCCAGGTGAGTGAAGGTTAACTGCTTTTTGAAGGTTTCTCCTTTTTGCCTTTTCAGCGAGCTATTTATACGTTTAAGATTTTCAAGTATTCCCCACCCCACCCCCTTTTCCATATACCATAAATGCTTTCCCCTCGGAACCTTCCCTAGCGACATTCTATTCTGGACCCTTTTGAATTCAAAAATCGTTAACAAAGACACCTTGGAAAGGGAGGCAAGGGGGACTAGGAACCTAGAGGAGTTCCTGGACCGGCTTCTTTGAAATTTTGTCGTCTGGATGCTCCACGGTGGTCTCTTTGTTAAGAGTTTAGTATCCGGACCTTAAGGCCACACAATTAATATTCCCGCTGGAATCCTAGGGACTCTTCTCTTGAAAGAGGCTGTTGTCCAGTTTTCAGGCCACAGTAGGTAATTTCCCGCCCAGGAGCCTGGCCTGAAAAGAATGTCGGTGTTTCCCTCCAGGTATAGGTGCCTGGGGGTCAGGGGGAGAGGGAAAGGCGAGGGGTGGAGAGGGAGGCGGGTGATCGACAGGGATAGAAACCCTGTCTCCACCTCCCTCTGAATGTGAAATAGCCAATGAGGTGGCGCGGCCGGGCCGGCCCGGCCGCCAGTGCCATATAGTATGCAGCAACCCGAGGAGTCACGTTGGGGGAACGGCAGAAAGCTGCTATCCTTTTACACTACTTTGCTCTAGCGGCTATCTTAATGGTGACTGCGTGGCCGGGGGAAACCTGATCGGCCAGATCCAGCCGAAACCGGGAGGGAGGGAGTGGGCTTTCCGGAGGGGGGGAGGAGGGAGGGAGACGAAGAAGGAGGAGTAAGAGAGGGGGAAAGAAAGAGGAAAAGAGTGCGAGGGAGTGAGGGAGGGAGGAAAATAAACAACAAAAAATGTCCTCTTCCTCCCCCACCGGGCAGATCGCAAGTGCGGCGGACATCAAGCAGGAGAATGGGATGGAGAGCGCCTCGGAAGGGCAGGAGGCGCCCCAAGAAGTGGCGGGGGGCGCGGCGGCGGGGCTGAGCCCCCCGGCTCCAGCCCCTTTCCCCCTGGAGCCGGGGGACGCCGCGGCCGCCGCCGCCGCCGCCGCCGCCGCCAGGGTGAGCGCGGAGGAAGGGGCAGCGGCGGCGGCGAATCAGGTACAACTCCACTCGGAACTTCTGGGCAGGCACCACCACGCCGCGGCCGCCGCAGCCGCAGCCGCCGCCGCCGCCGCCGCCGCCGCCGCGCAGACCCCGCTGGCCTTCTCGCCCGACCACGTCGCCTGCGTGTGCGAGGCGCTGCAGCAGGGGGGCAACCTGGACCGCCTGGCCCGGTTCCTGTGGTCCCTGCCCCAGAGCGACCTGCTACGTGGCAACGAGAGCCTGCTGAAGGCGCGGGCGCTGGTGGCCTTCCACCAGGGCATCTACCCCGAGCTCTACAGCATCCTCGAGAGCCACAGCTTCGAGTCGGCCAACCACCCGCTGCTGCAGCAGCTCTGGTACAAGGCGCGCTACACCGAGGCCGAGCGAGCCCGCGGCCGGCCCCTGGGCGCCGTGGACAAGTACCGGCTGCGCAGGAAATTCCCGCTGCCCCGCACCATCTGGGACGGCGAGGAGACGGTGTATTGTTTCAAGGAGAAGTCGCGCAACGCGCTCAAGGAGCTCTACAAGCAGAATCGCTACCCTTCGCCCGCCGAGAAGCGGCACCTGGCCAAGATCACCGGCCTCTCCCTCACCCAGGTCAGCAACTGGTTCAAGAACCGCCGGCAGCGCGATCGGAACCCCTCGGAGACCCAGTCCAAAAGGTGAGCGCCAACTTTCCGCCTCCTCCCCCTTCCTCTCCCCCACCCCCTTCCCAGCTTTCTTTTCCTCCCAAGTGCTCGCAAACATGGCGCTTACCTTCCCCACCAGCCCGGTCCGGCTGCCCACCTCTCCCCGCCCCCCACCTCTCGGCGACCGGGGGCTGGGGGGGCGGCGGCGGCGAGAGGCGGGGGGACCCTCCCCCTTTACCCTCCCTGCCCCTCCTCCCCCCCAGAAGTTTCTCGTCGCCCGCCCGGGTCTCAGTCCCCGCCCCCACCCCGGCTGGTCACTGCCGCCCGGTTTCCCACCCCCATCCCGCTGGCTTTGAAGTTGCCCCTCTCCCGGGCTCTGGCGCGGGCAGGGGCGCGGGCAGGGGCGCGTGCAGGCGCCCGAGAGGCAGCTCGCCTCGCCGCGCCAGGCCCCCGGAGGTCGCCCGGGCGGGCCGGGGTCTGCACCTCCGCCGGGTCCCGGCGCCGAGCGCGGGCACGCGCTCCCCGCCCCCCCCGCCCCACCCCCCGCACACCCACCCCTGCCTGCGCTGCGGTCGCCTCGGTGGCTCGGGAGGGACGCGAGGGCTGGTGGGGGCAGCGTCTCGGAAGGGGGGGCTGGGGACGTCGAGGTTTTATGTGACAGAGTTAATCATTACCCCTGCCCGCCGAGGTTCCCTTCGCGGCCGCGGCAACGTGGGGTGTTGGTGCGGCGGGGCTCTGCCGTGTTTTGAAACCTGATTCTGAACTCCTTCGGATCGGATTTCAGCGCCGCCGGGGCAGTGGGGCTGGAGGGCTTGCTTCCCCGGCCCCCGGCCCCTGCGTGGCGCCCCCCGGGACCGCGATTCGGGGCGGGGGCGCGATCAGCTCCGCGCCTCCTAGAGTGCCCACCCTGGCGGGTTTGAACTTTTGGACTGGCAGAGCTTTTGACCCCAGCTGGTGGAAAATATCGGGTTTTCCGCCGCTTTTGTGCGTCCTGTGGAGTCAGACACCTGGAGGGTGTTTTTGTGTATTGTTGAGCGAACTGAGGAGAAGGTCGCCTAAAGAGATGGTGTCTCCAGCCACGCGGGCATAGGACCGAAAGAACCCAAGGCAACTCGAAGGTTCTGCTCAGGGAAGGAATCTGGGAGCCGGGGAGCCCGCCTGGGCCGAGCGAAGGCGATCACCCGGCGCATTCCACAAGCCGCCGTGGCCCGCCCTCGCCGCTCCTGCCCCTGCGCCCCTACCGGGGCCCGACGGCTCCCGCGCTCGCCCAGGCCGGGGAGGGAGGCGCTGTGTGTCCGAGCCGGGCCTCGCGGTAACCAAAACAAAACGCGCACTGCGACCTGCGTGCATCCTGCCGCAGACTTGCGGGGAGACCCAGAGGAGGCCCGGTGGGAGCCCCGCGCCGGCCTGCGGCCGCGGATCCAGTCGCCCCGAGCTCCGTCGGAATCCTCGGGGCCAGAGGCAGGGGGTGGGGAGCGGGCGTGGCGCGCAGGCCAGCTGCCCTGCAGCCTCCGCTCCCCGGCTGGGCTGGGCGCGTTCCCCGGCTCCCCAGCCACACTCTCCCGGCTTCGCGTCCCCACCCCACCCCCAACTCTACACCCCCGCCCCCGGCCCGGTTGCCTGGTTTAGGCCCCTCTCCGGATCTACCTCCCACCCGCACCCCCGGTGAGTCACCCTCGCAGACGGCGACGGCGGCTCAGCCTCAGCTCGTAAATCAAAGCGCTTTCTGCGCTCCTGGCCCCGCAGCCCAAAGCCCGAGTAATCCCCTCCCCTCCGCATGAAAGCGAACCGACCGCCGGGCACTGCAAGGGATGTGGATCTTCTACGGGGCCAAGTCGCACCACGCTTCCAAACTGCCGGCTCACTGCCCCTTTCCCCCCCGCCCAGCCTCAGACCAGATGGGAAATCCCACCACTACCCCTCCCCGGATTTGGTCTTTCCCCCTAAGTCGGGGAGCTGAGGAACACAGCCCTGTCTGGAGCAGCAGAAGGACTGAGGCTGCTGGGGAAGGGGTCTGATGGTTACAAGACTGCTGAGTGACCCACACCCTTTCCCTCCCACCTCACCAGGGCACTGGATGATGTGTGTTAAATAGGCCCCTATGGCTTCTTTTGGATTCAAAGGCGACTGCACATAACAGTTCTTGGGTTGCAAGTGCCTTTCCTACATCAAGGACAGCCACTTTGTTGAATGAGAGAGTTGTCAGTCTGGTGGAGTAGAAGTTTGGGAGCAGGTGAGAAAATGATCTCTTGTTAACTAACTGGCAAACAATACTGAACACTTTGCACCTCCTGCTCCTTTGGCAGTTTCATTTACCTCCAACATCCCACTAATCTGAATTGGTTTGAGGGGAGGGGAAGGCGTTCCTAAACAGGAAAGACTGGCCACCTCATCTAGGGAGTTTTTTCTGTGGTATAGGTAGCGGCGTATCTAACAGGAACGAGTCACTTCACGGCTATAAAAAATGAATGTACGATTCTCTATTAGCTGAATTTACATCTTCCTGATCTCTGGACTTTCCCTGAATTTATTACCGGTGAAATGATGGGGATAGGAGAGTTTATCTTCCCACATTTTCTCTGTGGTCAGAATCTGCTGAAAGATCTCATAGCTTAAACAGGACTAAAGACTTCCTGCTCTGCTTTCTTTAAATACTGACTTTACTGGAGTTAGAGGCTGGATTTCTAAACAAATGGCATCATGCAGAATGTCATCCCCTCTGACCTTCCGAATGTCTTGGTTTCCCCCTCTCTGCAGTGAGTCAGATGGCAATCCCAGCACTGAAGATGAATCCAGCAAGGGCCATGAGGACTTGTCTCCTCATCCACTCTCCGGTTCATCGGATAGTGTCACCAACCTCAGCCTTCCCAGTCACATGGAGCCAGTATACATGCAACAAATTGGAAATGCTAAGATCTCATTAAGCTCTTCTGGAGTTTTGTTGAACGGAAGCTTGGTGCCTGCAAGTACTTCACCTGTCTTTCTTAATGGTAATTCTTTCATTCAGGGACCCAATGGAGTCATCCTTAATGGATTAAATGTGGGAAATACACAGGCAGTGTCACTGAACCCACCAAAAATGGCGTCAAACATTGTGAGCAATGGTATATCCATGAGTGACATACTGGGGTCTACCTCCCAGGATGTGAAGGAATTCAAAGTCCTCCAGAGTTCTTCAGCTAACTCAGCAGCCACCACTTCCTACAGCCCCAGTGCCCCTGTGTCATTCCCAGGGCTGATACCCAGCACTGAGGTAAAAAGAGAAGGCATTCAAACGGTGGCTTCCCAGGATGGAGGCTCTGTGGTGACTTTTACTACACCAGTGCAAATTAACCAGTATGGCATTGTCCAGATTCCCAATTCCGGGACAAACAGCCAGTTCCTTAATGGGAGCATTGGATTCTCTCCACTGCAGCTGCCTTCTGTTTCGGTAGCAGCTTCACAAGGTAAAAGTCTCGTTCGGTACTATAATGCACCAGTGAATGTTTTAGCCAGCTGCTGTAGATGATGCATTTGGTGAGAGCTATAGATTGATGTTACTGTTCAGGTACCTCATTGGCTGCCACAGCTGCAGAATAGCCTTGATTTGTTCCTCCTTCTTCACAACACCCGTGTAACATCCAGCTTGGTTGGTTCCCTGGCATCATGGAGATGGGCTTTTATTTTCTTAATAACTGACTGGAAAAATACAGTTCATGGCAAATCTTGCCAGTTCTACAATTATAGAAATATGATAAGTCAATTGGTGCTTACAGAATAACCCATTGCTTGACATTTTAAGATTAAAAATTAATAATATTGCTAAGAACACAAAATTAGTCCAAGCAATTGGTTTGAATACATACACTTTACCTAAGCATTTTCTGTTTGACCAAGAAGTGTTTTAGAAGAGCAAGCTAAAAAGACTGGATCAATTGCGTTTGATTCATGTTCTTACTATAATTAAAGCTAACAGTCCTAAAGGAAAACCAGAGGAATATGTGACTGGATGTCTGTTGCTCTGCAGTATACTCACCCCCCTAATATATGGGTTTATTTAGGAAGGCAACTGTTAGTCTAATTTTATATGTTTGTGGCTTCACTAAGGGCCGTATACTAAAGAAAACACTAATCTGAAATTTGGGAAGCCTGAGGCCGATATGCCACTTCTTCACTGACTTTAAGCAAGTCATGGCTCTGTGTCATTTTTCTAGATACAGAAACAGGAATGGTTAGAATAGCAGTGGAGGTTGCATAGCCCCTTAAACTTAGGAGTGAGGGGGTGTTAATGCATGCTTGCCTTCTTGTAAGCAAGTCTGAAACTCCAGGTTTCTATGAAACCAAAATAAGTAACTGTTTGCCTTAAAGCTCAGCTTCCTGTAAAATGGCCTTATCAAAAAACTATCCATTTATGCACGACCTTTTTTGTTTCCACAATTATGATCTACTTCAGCTAGAGGCATTAATGGAAAAAATGTGGTTGAGTACATTTCAATTCCATAAGATCAGTTCCCAGGTAAAGCGTAGTAAAACACAAAACTCCTACAGCATACCATGTTTCTTCATTGTTCGAAGTTATAGAAAGGATTAGGTTGAGTCACTATCCAACATAAGACAAAAATATAAAAACCACAAGGAAAGTCAAAGCGCTTCATTTTATAATAATTTAATGTGGCTCTAATCCCTTTTCTCTCTTTAGGAAATTTCCAAACAGTAGATAACATTTTAAAGACAACAAATTTGAACAAAAAGCATGGTATGTACATTGGGGGAGAAGAAAAGCTGAAATACTTTTCACATGTAATCTAGAAATACGCTACCATAGAAAATTATTACAACTAATAACTAATTTTTAAAGTGGGACATTTAATATGAATAAGAATAGCATTTTCAGTGAAAATAGCTAAGATCAAATGACAAAGCTGTCAATCCTTACACTGGGTACATTAAAGGTATGACCTGGAAGCAATGTTCCTTTATAGTAATTATGGACTACAGTTCTCAATAAAGCATTTGGGGATCCAGGCTTTGTCAAAAATGAATACTGAGCCTTGCTTTAAAATGTGTAGGCAAGGTAGATTATCTCTCAATGCTTAGGACTTACATGGAAACCCAGAATATCTACATCTTTTTTAAAGATTTTATTTATTTATTTATTTTTATTCATGAGAGACACAGAGAGAGAGAGGGGCAGAGACACAGAGGGAGAAGCAGGCTTCCTGCAGGGAGCCCAATGTGGGACTCGATCCCAGGACCCAGAATCACACCCTGAGCCCAAGGCAGACGCTCAACTGCTGAGCCACCAAGACATCCTTCATTTGGATATTTTTTTAAAAAAGATTTTATTATTTATTCATGAGAGACACACAGAGAGAGGCGGAGACATAGGCAGAGGAAGAAACAGGCTCCTCGCAGGAAGCCTAATGCAGTACCTGATCCCAGGACCCTGGGATCATGACCTGAACCAAAGGCAGACGCTTAACCACTGAGCCACCCAGGTGCCCTCATTTGGATTTTTAAACTGATTTTGAAATTTTCCAATTTATAATTCAGGTGCAGTTATATTTGAGTATCAAGTTTGGGACCACATCTGCTTTTCCTCCTTTATTTATGTATAATTTCTACACATTCAAAAATATTATTTTATTTACATTCAATAGCCATTGGGGAAAATGTCCTGTCATATTATTTAGGGTTCCTCTCAAAAAAAAAAAAAAAACTAATCATTTTCTTCACATATACACAGGCAAATAGTTTCACAAATACATACACATTTTCACAAATACATACACATAACATAATAAATATTTCAGATGATTTTGCTACAGTTTATCAGCCAACAAGAATTCTTTTTTTTTCTTTTTTTTTCTTTTTTTTTTTTTAGCCAACAAGAATTCTAAACTATACTTAAGTTGAAATTAAATAAAAGTCTTTTCATCTGTTTGGCCTGGAACAAACATTTATGGTAAGGAAGAGCCCAAACATACATATAAGTATTGTTAACACCAGTATTTTCATGAAGAAAACTTTTGTACTGGTTAAATTTTCCTTTCAAGCTTAAATACAGTGTTTTTCTTTTTTTTTTTTCCATTTAAAGACATTCCTTTGCATTTAAGATGCTTAAAAAGTGTTGGGAAGAGGTATAAACAGCCCTGTGACATTTGTTTTTCAGTAGAGGTGGTAATATAATCACAATTATTCTAATTCAGGAGTGTAATATCTTAGGTGAATTACCTTTAATTAATTAAGCTATTTTCTCAAAATAATAGTTTGCTGAACATCTAATTCAAGATCAGATGAATAATTCTGTCACAAAATTCCCTCAGGACCACCTTTCTTTCAGTGGCAAGATAGTTGCCAGCATTTCACTGTGCCTACGTAAAGACTCAAAAAGAAAAGGGTTTTATTTGCTGGTAGGAGTGAGGGGAAGGGTGGAATTCGTCTTCCATTGTCTGAGTTACCTGATTTTGAACATCTTCTCAGCATTCTACTTACATGTCTTTTTCTATTTCTGGTCTCTGCAGACCATTATAGTGAGAGCCTCAAAATACAAACCTTTTGGAGAGAAGCATTAGCTCTAGTTATTTATGTTAATCTGTAATTATAGAAGTACATTTCATTATTATCCCTAATTTTTCCTATCACTGCCAACACCGAAAGCTCAGAACTGGCACAGCAAAAGAAAAAACTATTCAGTGTTTTGTTAACTTGACATTACTTTATGGTTAGTGTAGTGAAAGTCTGAAACTTGTCTGTACAGGCTTATATGGTTAACTTCAAGCCCCAGGGCATCTCATTTTACGGGATTTTCTACATTGCCATTTGTGTCCGATACCAAACTTGTCCCCAGACAAAGGCATTTTATTTTGCATTTGTGTTTTCTAGTTCCAACTGGCAGAGCTAGCTTACGACTATCAACTGATTGAGAGAAATCAAATTGATAATAATGAACCAGAAATTTGACTGAAATTAGACCCTGGGGGAAAAAATGTTTTTTTCACACTCGGTTTCTAAACCAGCAGTTTAGAAGTTCTCACTTCCACTGTGTCATCAGACTTACTCAGAAGTTTAAAATACCCCTGTTCTAAGACTTACTGAGATTCTCAGGAGTAGAGCCTGGCAATCTGTAGTTTGTTTTTTCTTTTTTAAAGATTTTATTTATTTATTCATGAGAGACACAGAGACATAGGCAGAGTGAGAAGCAGGCTCCCCATCCCAGACTCCAGGATCAAGACCTGAGCCAAAGGCAGACACTCAAACACTAAACCATCCAGGCACCCCAGAATCTGTAGTTTTTAAGTGCACCAGGTGATTCTACCAAACCTGAGAAAAATCATGCATGTAAAAAAAAGTATCTTTTTTTTCCCTTTCAGTTCCATCAATGATAATCTCTACTTTATCTTTTTTAGGTAATCTTTCAGTAAACGCAAGCACTTCAGATGGGAGCACATTTACAAGTGAGTCCACCACAGTCCAGCAAGGAAAGGTTTTCTTGAGTTCTCTTGCTCCCAGTGCTGTGGTATACACTGTTCCAAATTCAGGCCAGACTATGGGATCTGTTAAACAGGAGGGCTTGGAGAGGAGCCTGGTATTTTCTCAGTTGATGCCTGTCAATCAGAATGCACAAATAAATGCAAACCTGTCTTCTGAAAATATCTCGGGGAGCGGCCTCCATCCACTGGCCTCATTAGTTAACGTATCCCCAACTCACAATTTTCCCCTGACTCCCCCCACCTTATTAAATCCCACCGAGCTAAATCCCGACCTTGCTGATAGCCAGCCAATGTCTGCACCTGTGGCAAGCAAATCTACTGTGACATCTGTCAGCAGCACTAACTATGCAACTCTTCAGAACTGTTCCCTTATTACCGGTCAAGATCTCTTGTCCGTCCCCATGACCCAGACCTCCCTTGGGGAAATTGTTCCTACGGCCGAAGACCAGGTGGGTCACCCTTCCCCGGCAGTGCACCAGGATTTTGTCAGAGAACATCGTTTGGTTCTGCAATCAGTAGCTAATATAAAAGAGAATTTCTTAAATTCTGAGGGCAAAGCCACGAGCAACTTAATGATGCTGGACTCAAAATCCAAGTACGTCCTAGAGGGCATGGTCGAGACTGTCTGTGAAGACCTGGAAACAGACAAAAAAGACCTTGCCAAGCTCCAAACTGTCCAATTGGATGAAGATATGCAAGACTTATAAACTTTATTTCCCTCTCTCTCACTCTCTCTCCCTTCCTTCTTCCCTCTCTCTCTTTTTCCTGGCATCAGCAGGCAGATCTTTTCACGAAGCCCTGAGGACATAAAGCATTTTCCCATTTACAGGGAAACACTAGTTTTGTGAGTAAATGCATTCAAGAGACTGGGTTGATCTGCATGAAGATCACAGTTAAATATACAAGAGTAGAACTGCATTGCTGCAGCCTTTTGGTTCACATATGTTCTCTTTTAAATAGATGGAGACAAAGGAACAAGATGAAATCTATCAAGACAAAGTGTATCATTTGGTTGACTTAATATAATTCTAAGGTCAAATGGAACTCTAGAGTTCTTTAAAGTAAAACTGTATACACCTGGCATCGGCATTAGAAACAATACGGTTATTTTTGTTTACTCTTACTCCATGGGCATTGATGAGGTTAAGAAGCATAAATGGTACTCCGCACTACTATAAGGGTTTATTTTTGAATAGATGCATTTCTTTTTTTCGGCATTTTTGTGAAAGTCTTGATTTGTCTCTACACATTTCCAGATGTGCTTGCTAATAGTCCAGTGGGGCTGAGAAAGTTTGCAACTCCACTAAAAACTCTGAAACAAACTTCAGTATGAGTGTAAATATATTAATCCTATAAGCAAGGATTTGAGGAATTACAGTGAATTTTATTTATGCTGTATATGTTTCTCTTACACTTCAGACATATGAACTGAAAAGAAAAATGTTTTCTTACTGTTTAATTTATTTTTATTGTTTGAACAGGAAGTGAACATAGTTATTTCCAACGAAGTTTTACTTTTTTGTAGGATTTTAAAAGTAATGATTTTTATCAGGAGTCTATTATGGTCAATATTAATAACACTGAAACAGGCAATCTAACACCCAATATTGGAATTTTGGTACTTTTTTTCACATCCTTGTTCTTTATTTAGCAACTGTCTGATTCATTTAAATATGTTTTCTATAGAATTCTATGTGCCTTCTTACCTTGTGGCCTTTTTATTATTCTTACTAAGGTACAAACATGTCAACAGAAGCACTGATGGCTCTTTTCTATCTAACAGGGTTATTTTCACCACAAAATTGCTTTAAATCTGAAGAACTTAAGTTTCACTTATATCATTATGTATGTTTATGATGTAAATGGATGAACAATTAATTATCGTTGATGCTTTTCATTACAATGAAAATAACAATCATAGATTACCATGTAAAATGAATTCTGTAGATGATGAAAACAACCATTTTAAACTAAAGAAAGAATATGTAAATTCTCTTGAGCAAAACTGTCCTGATGAAACTCAGTTCTAAATGTTTTGAATCAGCTGTTACATTATGACATACAACTGTTATTTGCACTATATTATCATGTCTGGTTTAAAAGTAACTTTTGGGGTTTCTTTAAGAAGAAATAATGCTTTGATAATGTTGTGAGCTGTGGTCATAGTTTTTATCAGGACTGAACACAAAATGGAATAATGCAAATACATTTATGTAGTGAGAAAGTCTCTGGTGTCTGCAAAGCAAGAAATGTGAGAAAATGATCTCTTCAGAGATGACTTAAAGTCGTCCAACATAAAGATGTTACAATCTTGCTCTCCTGAAGATCAGAAGAAAGAGTGTACTCTTGTACTCTTGATCCCAACATGCCCATCAGCTGAGCATGTTGACTAAGGTCCATAGAGGACTTAACCTTTTCTTGTTATTGCAAATGGAACTCGCAGACATAGATGAAGAGCCCTATCAAGACTTCTTCCCGTCATTTCATTAAAGAACTTAGATGCCTTCTTTTTTATGGAATTAGTAAATGTTCTCAAACTGCTGAAACTATAGTTTTTCATCTTTTTTTTTTTTTACAAAGTCAGGTGTTTTAGAGTTCTCTTCCACTCCATCACTGCTTACACAGATTGTTTTTTTTCTTTAGGTGTGTGCTGATCATGTTACTGAGATTAATTATATGGTTCTGTAGTGTAGTTTACATGAAAATGATGTTTCTTCACTTGATGGCTGCAGATATCAAGAGTTAGTTCATTATTTTAAAATACCAATCTAATAAGGGAGATGGGAAGGTTTAAAAAGTTATATATATCATATATATAACTGGATAAGTTTCATATGTCTTCCAAAAATATAATCAACCTCTCTTTTACTCACAGTCCTTCCTCTTTTTTTCCCTTAACAAAAAAGATAGCACAAAACTTCAAGACTTCCCTAGGAAACCTATTCATACTCCCAACATGATGTAATTATACCCCTACAATTATTCCAGGTAGCTACACAATATACCAGGTAAGAATCAATGCACATTATAAAGAACTTATTGTTCTTTTCTTTCAGTAAAATAAGGGCCAGTTGGTGTATAGCCCATACATATGTGAATGACATAAGATAAACCCCATGATCTCCTTGCACAGAATTGCAAATGTTTTTTGCAATACCAAGGGCCAGACCCAGAACCCTTGGAGCTCATGTGGCAGAGTTTCTCTTACATAAACCAATGCTTGAAGATGCTGCAAATGACCCTCAAATGATCCCCAAAGAGGAATCAGAATAGGGGCAAAAACTCTTCCTGCAAACCCCAACCCCTGCTGCTGGCTGTGGGATTTTTGATGTGAGGCTATCTATGCACCCTATGCCAGCATTTGGCATCTAGCTCTTAGTTACATGTAGTAAAGAACAGTTTTATGACTTAAAGAGAAGGTGCATTTGTTCCTCAAGCAAGAACACCTGTGTCGTAGTGTTTTATAGCTCATGTATATTTATAGTAATGAAAAGACTGAATCGTACACGTGTTTCAGTGCCTTTCTCGTGTTATGAAAGGCAGGTAGACATTATAGCCATAGGTAAAAATTTGTAGTTAAATTGCACACTGACCTTAAATCTCCCTGTATATGCCCTTGCATTTTGCATGTCAAAAGTTGGATTATTGGGCATGTGTTGCAGCCTGCCCTGCTACATGTTAGGCAAGTGTGCATTAGTACATAGCCAGAAGTTCTTCATTCTTTTACAATGTTTTGACAGGTCATCTCATCATAAAAATATAAATAATTCAGGAAATTTGTGGGAAAATTACGTTTTACAAAAGATGTTTCAAAGTCTTCCTAGAACTTAGATGATAGAGCCTAACAGTTATTTTGTATCTAGTTGATACATTTCATGTTAATTTAATATTACCACCGTACATTTTATTAATCAGAATTATGTAGCATGTGACTCTTTTGGCTTTCAGGGTTCTCAATTTGTGTTCTTTTGTTGCATGTACTGTATGTTTAGAGGAGACCGGTTATATACTCAATATGGTTTTACTGTGCCTTACACAAAGAGAAAAATCTATACAGAATGTATATCATGGGGTGGGGTAACAGAGTCTCTACTGCACTGTTAGGTGATGGCACACAGAGCATGTCCCAGAACATTTCTGTGCTTTATTACCCAACCAAAGAGATCTAAAGTATGTATGTTGTACTGTAATAGGGGTTTATGCCTGGACAATTAAGTGTTTTATTTGTTTTCTGAAATGATGTGAACTTATTTTTCTAAACACTATGCTAAATAAACTTTATATTTATACATACATACATTGTGTTTAAAAAGTTATTTATCCCTGGGTGGGGGGGTGGAAAGAAGCGTAGGGAAAAAAGAAAAACAAAAGCCCACACAAACATTTCATACACTGGCAGATACAAGGACAATAGGAGTCATTTTACAATAATCTTTGTTTTGGTCTTTGTACAAAATTATGCAATTCACTTAATTGTACTGCATATTCAGAGCTAAATGATTAGAATTCATCCTCCTTAAAGGAAAGAAATGTGTCCTATTCATCTGGGTGTTCCAAAATCTGACTCTCCTACTCTATAAGATTTACTGGAATTAAATTCAATGATCCAAAGGCCTTTCCATTCCCAGCCTTCCTGTATGAGCTCGATATAATCCATGTTTAAAGCATTCCCATTAACCAAAGTCTAGTTACACCATAGTTGGGTCTACCAGTGATTTGACTTAAAGTTATGGACACAACTCTACCACCTAAGACTCAGCCCTGCTACAGTTTGATCCTACCTTTAAAATTAAATGAGCTCTGGGGCACCCGGGTGGTTCGGTTGGTTAAGCATCTGCCTTCAGCTCAGGTCATGATCTAAGAGCTCTGGGATTGAGCCCCCATCAAGCCCTGCATCAGGCTCCCAGCTCGGCAGGGAGTCTGCTGCTCCATCTCCCTCTGCCCCTGTTCCCGCTATCTCTTTCACTCACTTTTTCTCTAATAAGTAAATCCTTAAAAATAAAAATAATAAATAAATAAAATTACATGACCTCTGATTAGGTATACCTCCCACACTAAAATGAAGAGGGGTTGGATAAGGGAGATTGGTACCAATTGTACAATTGTATTATTAAGCCTATTAAAAGTATCAAATTGGTTTCAGGGATGTCTCCACTTTTTTATATTCTTGTCATTCACTCCATTTGTTCAGCAGTGTTCTACGTAGCTAAACCAGTTAAAGTAGATAGTGTCTCAGTGAGCCTAGGGTCAGAGTATTGTGGAGTGATTACATTTTATAACATCTTAACCAAATAAATATTTTAAAATATTTGACAGGTCACTGACCTACTTCAAACATTTGTGGCTCTGAAGAATCTAGCAAACTAAAAAAAAACACTCAAGGGGAGTTCAAGACTTTCAGCTATAGAATCCCATCCCACTTCTCCTGCTTCCCTTAAGAAATAATAAATGTGGGGTACCTGACTGACTCAGTCGGTGGAGCATGTGACTCTTGATCTTGAGATCATGATTTCAAGCCCCACGTTGAGTATAGAGCTTACTTAGAATAAAATAATGAATGTGGAAATTAACCTTTACATATCTCCATTTTCAATAAAGTAAATAGTAAATAAAGGTAGATTCAGGTAATGGCCAGTACAATAAAATCCATAACAGGGTAATGAGATTGAGCATGGGGAATGGTAGAGGTGAGGGCATACGTTACATTGGTCAAGGAAAGTCTCAAGGAAGTAAACTTTCAACAAAAAGGCATGAATGAAGAGAGAGAACCAGCTCACAAGACTTAGAAAAATAGCATTCCAGACCTAGGGAACAGCAGGTACAAAGGCCCGGAGGGAGGAGCAGAGTGGCTGGGTCACAGTGTTAACCCTAGGGGTCATTGAGTAGGAGATCTAGTCAGAGAGATATAGGCAGGTGCCAGATAACAAATAGAACTTTATTGGTCTGTGTTACATAGTTTGGATTTGAGTCAGAAAAGCAAGAATTGTTATAACATGGTTTACACTTTAAAATATCACTATGCCTATTCTTTGGAGAATGGTGTTGTAGGAAGCCATTCCTGTGAGGGAAGGAATTCAGAAACTACGTCATGTTGTCCTAAGCTGTTGGGCAGGAAATACTTGAGGAGCTGTTGAAGCAGGTATGGCAGTTTTCCCCTAAATGTCTCCAAAATTTTGTGTTCTCCAAGCCTCTGTCTACTCTGCCTCTTGCTTAGCCAAAGCTGCCAGCTTCCTGCTATGATTGTCCCAGTCTGAACCTGTGCCCTGAACTCCAGTCTGGTAGATCCAGTTCCCTAATGGATATTTTCAGAATGTCCCAGTCACCTATGACTCTACATATGAAAAATTTTA